TGAAACCGTTCTTCTGAAATACGAATCCATGACTTTGTCTCGAAGCAGGGATTACGGTTGCAACCAATATAACAATTCCGATTACGGTTTTGGTTCAAATTTTGTGTTTCGCTTGCAGTTACTGTACCGCAGACAAAACAGGTTACGGTTACCGGTATTGCACCAGTTAAAAACAAAACATTTTATGTTCTTTTCTATTTCTTTCTATTATGGCAAAAAATATAAAAAGCTTTAAAACTGAGAAACTAGTTTGTATACAAACGGGCGGACAGACAGATATGGCTATATAGACTCTCCTAGTTATGCTGATCAAGCATATATCTACTCTATGGGTTCCGAAAAGTCTCCTTTGCTGCGTTGCAAGGATATACAATTGTACCGCAGTGCAAAAAATTCTTTATTTCTATTTTATTTCTTTTTATTATGGCAAAAAAAAAAAAACATTATAATAAAATTTTGCATTTTTGGAGAGTTTCAACAAGATAGCTTTAAGGGGGTATTCTGGTCTAGAAGCCTGAATTTTACAAATTTGTATATCCTTGCAGGGGGTATAATAATTTCCTTCAGAAGTTAGCAATGTAGTGAAGAAGACATTTCCGATCGGACGACTATAACATAAAGCTCCCATGGGAAAAATAAAAATATAGAAAATTTTTTTTATGTTTTAAATGTAACTTCTCTATTTTGTAATTTTTTTTTAAATTCTTTTCAACTTATTAATAATTTGACAGTTGAGAATTATGCTTTTATTATTATTAAATAGGAATTTATTATTATGCCATAGGAACTATCAAACAATTGGGCTGCAAATCATCATAGCTTCAATGATTTAAAACATATACGCAAGTAAATCATAATTTCAATGTTTTCAATAATATTTAATTTTTGCAATAACAGCAAGGGTATACAAGCTTCGGCTTGCCAAAGTTTGCTTCCATTCTTGTTTCAAGTAAGATAAAAAAGAAATGAAAAGCATTTTTAATGTACAATTTTTTGTATGGTTTTTATTAACATTTTAACAATACAAAAATAAAATATTAAAAAACAAGTGTAGAGTGGGGTCTTCAAAAAATAGCTGCTTCCTGGTTGATATGAAAAAAATCTAACAAATTATTTACTAGTAAAGATGCCGTTATCGGGTTGCCCACTTCCAAAAAAATAAATAATAACACAACGGCGTTAACTTGAAAACTAAAAATGTTCTCAACCATTTTCAAGTCCGAAGCAGACGCGATAGAGAGTAGTACAAACAAGATATATACCAAATTTCAAAGGAATCGGCTCAGTAGAACATGAAATATTATGTCAACCACCTCGAGAAAAATGCGTTTAAAATTAGGAAACAATTCTAATGACTCGGACGCCACGTCACAAAATTTTCTGTGTCTCCGAAAATAATTCGAATTTTGAAAAATCCTTTTAGGATCATATTTTTGAAAGGTATGCTTTCAAAATATGAAAAAAATCGATTATTTCATATTTCTAGACCAGAATTCCCCCTTAAAGCTGAGATTCTTGTTTGTGTACAAACGGGCGGACAGACAGTTATGGCTATATAGACTCTCCTAGTTATGCTGTTCATGAATATATCTACTCTACTCTTGGAAAGTGTGGTAAAAAATCCACAAATTCGACAAAGCTAGTTATTTTAAGCGTTTAGCTCATAAAAATATCCTTTTCCACTTAATCCGCCATTTTGCAGCTGACAATTACCAGGTCTTCAACGGATCAACTGCTAATAGATTGCCTGATCGGATAACTTGCTTTAGCACCGGCTATATGTACATGTATATAAAGACGGTGACAGGGACGGTTTACCATAGGGTTAATGCCGAATTTCAAGAGGCCTTAATGAAAAGTTCAGCTGATTTGACGTCCCACTCGAAAAATCGCATTCAAGTCAAAGTCACCAGTGTCATGTCCGTCCGACTGACTATACCATACCATACCATACCATACCATACCATACCATACCATACCATACCATACCATACCATACCATACCATACTATACCATACTATGCTATATGCACCAAATGCGGAGGAGAAACGACAAAAAGCCAACCTGGTCGAACGCGAAGTCGAATCCGTGGCACGACAACACGACATCGTTTTGTACGTCACTCAAAACGTTCGAGGGCTGTCAGGGAGACAGTTCAAAAATGAAATATGTATATACCCGTACACATTATAACAAATTCTAAAGGAGAGACACAGGCGAGGAAAGTCTGCTAGTCAGACAGACGGTCGAAGTCATTAATTGAGCATTGACGTTCGCGGAGGGAACATCAGCCATATCGGAAAGCCCAAGCCCGCCCGTTTGTGTCACAGAATTTCTTGGTGTCACAGAATATCTTGTGTGATTTCCGAGTGGTTCATAGGCCATTTTATTGCATATGGGGCTGCTTATAAAGGTTTTCATGACCTTCCATCGACACTAGTTTGATGTTCAGAAGAGATCACTGGCATTGCAACACCCAAAAAAATTCTTTACGAGTATAAAAAGGGCAGCGTTTAAAAAGAATTGGTTTAGCGTATTATTTCCAGCTTATGTCAGCTTAGAGCGTTAAGCACCATTTGGCCAACAAATATAAAAGCCACGGTTGAAAACTCAAATCGTATACAAATTATTGAGCTGATATACCAAAATAGCAACAAAGAACGAAGAACAGGGGTGATATTTTTCTCTCCGTGTACATACATATACATATGGAATAGATCTGAATCGTAAGCCAAGCCGATTCCTACACCCATACACATACCCAGTGGAATTCAAAAAGGGGGTCCGGCTTACTCTCAAGAGCCGGCGATGGTGACGTTGCCGTTCCTTGTGCTGAAATGATGACACGATGACACGGACAGCGAAACGAATACGGACATGAAGGCCGAGACAGACATGAGCAAGGGTCCTCGTCCTCGTCCTCGTCCGTGTCCATATCCAGACGAAGACGGACTCGAAATCCAAGTGTCATCGTCATCGTCCTGCATTTTGATTTTATTATTGATTCAATTACATTGTCAACGGCGCACCAGCAGCAGTCTTGCTGGCCGGAAGGATCAAGACTGCGGCTCCGGCTAAGGATAAAACAACCGAGGAGGGAAGTAAAAGCACATTAAATATTCAGTCGAAAAAGCAGTTCATTAATCAATCAAAACTGGTTTTTCCTGATAACTTTTTAAATTTATCATTAGAGACGGAATTAGAGTTAGGATTTGTAAAAATCTGTGACCAAGTTAATTGACCTTTACATACTTTATGGACAAGAGTTAAACGAGTCTAGTTTTTTATGTTCTGATTTGCCCATTAAGCCTGCGTGTAACTTTATACGTGCTTGGATGATGCAATTTGGAGGAACAGTGTTATATATTTGACGTCCGTTGATTTGCTGGTTGACATGCGCTGCGGCCAAATATAATACGTGTTCGGAGCTGATAATTCCGCTAATGAGTTGCACTAATGTTTGCGTAGTTAAAACTGTTAACTGTCCAAGAGTTAAGCCCACGATGGGTAAACAAGAAACTCTGGATATAGAACGCCGATAGAGGGAATACCCTGCCGACTGTGAATAATTGTCCAATACCCTTAGATTAGGTGTGATCTGTATTTTAAGAAAATCTACCTAGAGTAATCAGTTTTTTTTTCAGAGAAAAACTTTTTTACCAATTTGTAGGGTACAGAAACATTTTACGCACCCATCACCATTGGTTTCTCTTTACAAACACACAATGGCCATAACTGACGATAACACCTAAATGGTACTGCTAATAAGCCGTTTAAATTTGTCTTCTTCTCTTTCCTTTGTAAGTGTTGTTGTTGCCGGTGCTAATGGCAATAAAATGATTAGCTTGTTTAATTGGTTTTCTTTTTACGCTTTTGTGTCAAACGCTGTCTTGCTTTTAATGTCCAACAGTCTACACCAGTGCTGACACTTTGTGCCAGATTTTTACGTTATCTGGAAATCTGTTCTTTATTCTAAAATAAGATTACGATCATAACCGAGAATGACGCGAATCGGGTTTAATCAAACTGATTTTGGAAACTGTATGTGCTGCTACTGCTTACTGGGAATGTAGCTTTTTTTGGAGTTGTGGGCTGTAATTGTATATTAACTACTTCAAGTCGCCTAAAGCCACTTAAATAATTTTGGATTTATTACGTATACGAATAGCTTTAAACAATGCAATACAACTACTAAACTAAACAGATTCTTATTCTTCTTTATCCACAGAATATGACGATATAACTAAATATAACTAATCAAAATTATACTTAATAGTAATATTTTGTAATCTTCTCCGATTTGGAAAATACATTTTTTTATCTTTTTTTGTTAGTGATCTGAAGTTTTTTTAATTAGCTGCTCGAATAACAGCGCTATATTTATATTTGTTTTTCATACATTAATGGCTAATTTTTTGTGAAGTGGACAACTTTGAGTACCCTTGCTGTGGGCAATACGGAAAAATCTCAGACTTTTTAAAGTAAAACATTTTCAAAAAGAATTCGTATAATTTTCTATCATTTTAAAAATTTAATACCAATCAATTTTTTTGTCGCATTCATTTATATATTCGCGTACCTTAGTCTCTTAGTCTTAGACTCAATTCTCCTCCAAAAATCGATCAGACGATTTTTGTGCGCCAGTCACTTCTCACATTTTTCGTACCTTTTTAGAAATGACTCGGATTAAATTTTATGGTCGTTTATTATATTTTGTCATTTGATTTAAATTAACACAATTTTGTAGGGGAGGGGGTAAGAGGTGCTTTGAAAGTACAAATAACGTTGATTCGGCATTGCGACAGTCCCGAACCGATCTTCGGGAGCTAAGAAATTCGGTTTTTGGCATTCATGTGTGAAATGTGTCGAATTGTTGATGTGTGCCCAAGAATTTGACATTTTGACGGATGTGTTGGCACAAATCATCAAAACTTGTTGTGAGATCGTGATCGACCAGACTATAGCTAACCACTCGCTTTTCTTGGCTTTCCTCTTTCAGATCTGCCGTGAAACTACTCTGCTCCCGCCAAGGCAAGACTCTATATATATATCTTTATAAATATCTATATATATATATATATATATATATATATATATATATATATATAAACATATATTTATTTAATATATATTCAACGCACTTCAGGAAGTCGGGCCACGTCCACGGCCCCCAAAGACGTAAGTAGATATGGCTTTTCTCGACTTCCTCATACCGGTCACTCTTGGGCCATTTCGACAATGTCTCGGCAGTCTAGTTTGTATATCTCTATCGCCCGCCGAGATGACTTTAGATTTGGTTGAGATACAGCCAGCACAATAGAGACACAAAGCTATTAAAAACTGATATAAATCTCATTAAACGCGATGCTTGTAGCAGATGAACAAAGCCACCGCTTCAACCTCGGTTGTGCCCACCACTCAGAGCCCCTGTCTCCTTGCCCTTCCTTCAATCAATCGTTGCTCTTGCTCCCGGCTACAAACAAGAATGGCTTTTGTGGCTCAGTTGAGATCAGTGCGGCGCACTTTCGGTGGAGACTCTTTTAGCCAAAAACGCTACGGACAAGCCTTCGCCAAAGATGGCTTGAATGGCTCGTCCGCATTTGAATTCGCAGTTTGGACATCATGTTGGTGACGCCCCGAAACCGATAAGTAAATAAACAAACAGCGGGCAGGTCGCGAGTGTCCCTTGGATTCGCTTACCGATAAGAAAGTTGAACCATCTGATGGGAAAAACATTTGCCAATTATAGTTGCAACACCATAGACCTCTCAGCGGTGCACTCGACACCATCAATTTATAGGGGAAGGTTTTCGAAAGAATTACAGTTTTGAGAATAAAATGTAAAAAGCGCCTAGAGAACTTCGACTAAAATTACAAACCATAAAATGATTAAATCTTTTGTTTATTAGCAACATTTACAGATCCTCCGATTCTATCGGATATTATTACTAATGATGATACAGCTTTTTCTACATGGTGTGTGTATCAGAAAGAAGTAATCCTTAAAATATAATTATAACATGATTACGACGGCTTATGTATGTTGGACAGACGTGCGCTAAGTTTGAAGTTAATTAGTAAAATAGAGCTTAGATAAACGTACTTTTAAAATTGAGAATTTCAACTACTCAATATTTAGCAAAATATTCTTCTTATTTTTGTATGTGCAGAACTAAAAAATATAAAATTTTCAAGCATTTCGTCTGTCAACTAAACCAGTCTTCACACAGGACTCCAAGCTGCACTAAATTTCCCTTATTCTCCCTCCTAAACACTTCCACAATGGGAGCAAAGTTCGTTGAGGTATGCGCAGATGCTACACAGAAAACCCATAGATCCAGTAGCCCCAACATCACACTTTCCAACGGGTGATGTTGATGCGGATTCGTGTCTGCGCTTGAGGGCTAACCGACCTATCCACTTAAAACACAGCAAAAGCCCCGGATTACGACCATTCTGGCAGACTGAACCAGGTCCAGGTTTCGGGGAGCTGGGGAGTACTCGGAGCAGACCCCTGCTATGCCGGTCGACCCAAACATCACGTCTGATCGACTACGACAGTCGGCCGAGGTCCCAAGTAGCGCCAGAGTATACACAGAAACAAATTTCTAGCAAAAGTCAACTAATTTTAAAGAGAAAATGCCCCAACCGTTTGTTATACCTTCAGTGATAGAATCTAAACTTGGCAGTTTAAAACCAATACCAATACCAATCAGCAAGGACCACAGTAACTGTATATTTGTACCACTAAAACTGTCAAATTACAGTGTTTATTTAGTATCTATGTTAAGTAACATTGAAGCAACCCCTTTTAAATTTCAGGTAATCGAAAACCTTTTTAAATTCTGGAAGCACTTGGCTTCAGCCAGGTGAAATAATTTTTTCATTTTCTTTTTTTTTTTAATATTCCGATTGTTCCCATGGAAGCTATAATATGTAGCCATCGTTTTAATTAAATTAAAAAGCATTGTTCTAAAATTATTAAAAAAACATGAGAGAACGTTATAGTCAAATTTCCCGACTATTAGATACCTGATACTCAGTCAACAAACTTCAAACTATTTATTCCCCCTACAAAACAAAAGTTTAGGTGGCGCAATCTGTCGAACTGCATAGACAACAGTTCTGTTGTCTCTCTCATATCTGCTACAACCAGCAGAGCAGCGGCTGATCAATGGCTGAGCAGCGGCAGAGAGCCAGCTGTGGCGCGACAGAGCGGGTGCAAAGGACTTCATAACCTTCATAACTTCTTAGATAATAGCTTGATTTTGAAAACAATAGTGTCTACCGATAGATATAAACGAAACACACACATATAAACCACACCTACTTTCTATCATGTTTTAGAGTGCCAATATATACTTTCTCAATTTGTGGGCGTTAGAGTGGGCGGGGCTCCATTTTGAAATAAACTTGCGCTGCCTAGAAACTACTTGAATCTGCATGCCAAGTCGGAAATCTCATTTATAGTTTCCGAGATCCCTATGTTTATACAGACGGACAAACGGACAGACAAGCGGACATGGCTTTATTGACTCGGTTATTGATCCTGACCAACAATATATATACTTTATAAGGTCAGAATCGCTTACTTCTACCTGTTACATACTTTTTACTTTACTTTTACTTTTGTATATTTGTTCATAATCAGGATCAATAATCAAGTCAATCTAGCCATATCCGTCCGTATGAACTTCGAGATCTCTGAACTATAAAAGCTTGAGGTTAGGATTTAGCATGGAGATGCTAGGTATACATACTACAAAAAAGTGTAAAAATACAAATAAAAGAAGGTAGACAAAAATAGTTAAAAAAACCTTTTTTTAAAATGTGCTTACTCTAACGCCCACAAATCACATAAGACTGTCATGTGACTCTGAGACTTTGTCGAGGTTAGTTCCTGGGCTGTGTGTTTTTCTGTGGGCATACCTATTTTGAATTCATAACCTAAGTAACGGGTATCTACAAGTCGGGGCATTCAATAGACATAACCCACACTCAGAAAACAATAAAAAACCAAAATGAACTAAAAAGTGTTCCAATTACTTAGTTTTAGAAAAATTATTTTTATATTAAGGTAATTTTACTTTAATTTGGGTAGTATTAGATAATTTTGACACTTTTTAGGTCACCATTTTTAAAGTGATACTACATTTTGTTTTTTTTTAAGTGGTTTCTGAGTGTACGATCATGTTCATACCCGTAATTCGTAGAGTAAAACGATATATTGCATTCTTTGAAAAGTATGTAACAAGTAAAATTAAGTTTTTTCGACCCTCGAAAGTATATATGGCGTTTTTTTTGTGCCAATAGCGGTGCTATACTGTTCGTGCTCTGCCGCTGCTCTGCTTTAGATAGATCTGCTGATAGCGGGGGTGGGGGGCTGCTCGTTCTTTGCTTGCAGTGTTGTCAATGCAGTTCGGCAGATAGCGCCAGCTTAAGCCCATTTGTTTTCTAGGGGAATATTTGTTTTGAAATTCGTTAGCTGAGTAGCGGGTATCTAATAATCGGGGATCTTGACTAAAAAGTTCCCTCGTGTTTATTTTCTTTTCTCTGCACTTGTCGCACAGTCCCATTTTCAAACCCATTCCCTGTCCCTATGCCTGTACCTGATTTGGGTCCGGATTCGAGTCCATGTCCCATGTTCGTGTCCTGCCATTGAACACTGCTCGATGTTGGCGCTTTCTCTGTGGTTTTTGTTTTTTTTTTATTTGCCGGCGGGGCAACCAGCGGCTTTCGTCAACGATCCCACAGTGGATTTGCATATTTAACAACAAAACGAGAACAGAGCCCTGTTTCTGTTGGAATCACTTTGTTAAACCCTGTTCGGCGGCAGTCGGACCGATTCAGAGGCGTTCATAATCAGAACTGAAGTGGTGCCAGGGCCACGACGCGGGTCTATTGGAGATGGAGATGGGGATTGGAAATTCGAGGGGCTTTGGCTGAGACTGCGCAGCGTTAGCCTCCAACTCCTCCGGCAACTTGCCAAACATATCTCATGTGCGGCAAGCCGTGTTGACACTTTTAATGTGTTTCATAAATACACTTTTACAAAATAGAGAGGGGCTTCGACCGGGGTCTTTGTGATGTGTGGGATCTTTGGGATCTGTGAGAAAGCCGGGACGTTTAATGGTTGACATCTGAGGTTTCTGTTGTTCGACCTTAACACGCTTTTATGACCGCTGCTTTATGGCTTCGGAAATGCGTTAAGAAAATGTTCCTTATGACGGCTGCCGCCGATTCTATGCGGCAAGGCCAATAATAATCATGATTGGTGTCTGGAATGCCATTTTTCTCCTCCTTTGTTTGAGGGGATTCGAGCGATACGAGCGAACAGCTCGCAGCTTTGCGGTAATTTTGTTATGAGACGAAAATGAGTTTCATGTGAAATCCGAAATTAAAAGGAGTCCTCTTCTCGGACAGATTCTCGTCTGTCTGGTGGCGAGTCTTGCTTCATAAATGCCGATGAAACTTTGGGATACAAATCATCGATTGATGGTAACGAAGATACATGCATACACTGGTCACCAGTGTTTAAGAGAGCTGAATATGAGTGTCAAACATCTGTTTAGAGTGCTGAATCTTACAATTAGGAAATAATCTGCATTATGAGTTTTCTAATTATGCCTCAGAAAACTAAATCAAATGTGATTTTTGTCAAAAGCCTGATCCTTAGCATCTAAAACTAAATTTACAGTCTGTAACCATCTGCAATTGCGATGTTTGTTAAATGAACTCACTTTTGTACTGTATAAATAGTCACACAATTGGAACTCATGCGTAGCAACTTGTACATGTAATATTTTAATATTGTAGGAACTATGCAAAATGCTAACTCTTTTTGTCCCACTTGTGAATTTATAAATCCCAACTGGAGCTTGCGCTCAAAGCACCCACAATTCAGACACTGAAATTTAAGGACTTCACTGCTGGAAGACAAGTTTACTCACACATTCAAACAGTTTGGGATAAACTTAGTGATAACATAATTGAACAGTCTATATATTTCTGTACTGCTTAATATGAGCTTTCTGTAAGCAATAGTAAAGATTGTTCTTCTCAACTATTATTCGTTGGTTGGAAAATATTATCAGCAAAGTTTAATTAAATTAACTCTAAAATGGTAACAACTACGTATAGAAATACGTTACATTTACTTTTGATTACTCTTACTTTTGGGTAAATTCAAGCAACAATTGTTGTGATATTCGGGGAAATTTTTTTGTGCAAATACTTGTCTAAAAACAAATTAAAATAAGATTTTCAAAGAGAGCAATGCTATAAATATTGAAAACATACATACATACATACATACATTAATATTATAATTTCCGTCAAAAGTTTGCAACGCAATTAAGGAGAAATCTCCGACCCTATAAGGGATATATATTCTTAGTAAGCATCACTAGGAGTGTCGATCTAGCCATGTCCGTCTGTCCGTCCGTTTCTACGCAAACTAGTCTCTCAGTTTTAAAGCTAATTCCATGACTCTTTCCCAAAAGTTGTCTTTCTATTGCATGTAGTACATAAGTCGAAACGAACGGAATGGGACGACTATATCATATAGCACTTTTTTAATTTTCTTAATTCTTCGAGAAATAGCAATAGTTTAATATTTCAAAATTACGGTTGTAATTTGATTAAAATCGGCCGACATATAGCTCTTTTTCTCTTTTCTCTCTTTTCGCTCTTATCTATATATTTAATTTTTTTTAATTTAAAAATTTAATAATTCAGAAATACGTTTTTAATTTTATTAAAACACGATATCATAAACCTGCCATAGAAACGATCGAATAGTTGAGCTGAAAACCATCTCAGCTTCAACGTTTTTAAATATACATACATATACGCGGGTAATGTTTAGATGTTTTAAAAAATATTTTTTTTTTATAGCTGCAATGGTATTCAAAGTTCGGCTTGCCAAAGTTTCCTTCTTTTTTTGTTTTTAAGGATAAATTATGGCTATGGAGTAAATTTTAGATTCCTTCCTTACAACCTTAAGCGATACTGAGAATCTAGTTAAAGTAAGAGTACCATAATACTTGTCATCATTGGTAAAAAACTCAAATTGGTAACATGTGCGCTAGTTATAAAAGATCTGCTTTCGCAGTCGAGAAATTGAGGCTTCAAAGCGATCCAGCTACTGCGGACTATGGACCCTAATTATAGGCAGTCATCAAAACTCCAATAACCCTCGCTGCAAACTGTCACTTTTATGCAATCAGTGCTCACAGCAGATGGGCTCAGATTCAGATATACACAATCGCACTTGCGATGCCGAGGGAAAACTGGTTTGGTCACAACCGAGATTCGGAACGTGTCAAATCTCAAATGCACGAACAAAATAAGTAAGAAAAAATTAAATACCAGCCGAAAGCAATTAAAAGCTGCCGTTGATGAGACTGTCGCTTCGTGCATCTCCGGGCAGTTCCTTGTTCAGAGTCGAATAGAACAGAACCGAACAGAACAGAACAGAACAGAACTGAGCCGAACTGAAACGGAATCGTAATAAATGTCATTACAACAGCAGCCCGAACAGGTGCCACTTAAAAACCAATTTGTATACCATTTAAATTACTTGCCAAGATGACATATATCATGCAAAGTTCCCCAATGCCAAATGGCGCAGAGTCCAAAGGCAGGAGGGGAATAAATGATAATATTAAGAGCGGAATTTGAAGCAACTGGTATTTTTGATACACACTCAATCGCCATAGTTGTCATTAACCATATTGTATCTAATTTTGTGAAAGACAAATTCTTGAAGATATTCAATAACCAGTTTATAACTTTCTTTACAAGGACATTATTCAAATAATGACTATTTCAAAAAGAAATTGAGTAAAATAGGAATTTTTGATTCGCTCTCAATGGTCTTTATTGCCATCTACCAAATTTCACCAAATTTGGCCTTAAATAAACAATGAGCGAATGGGACTATTGGTAATGACTATTGAGTAAAGACTATTTCAGGGAAGAAGGGTTTTCTGTTTGTGTGGTTGCTTTTTAAGAATTAAGACAAACTTTGTGGGTATATACATATATTAAATGGGAAATAGTTTTTGAGAATACAGCTTTCAGTGCTGCAAAACCAGGATACCCTAGTACTTTACGAGCACAAAGCACAAAAAAAGTTAAGTCGAGACCATCATACAGATACATACATACATACATACAAATACAGATCTATGTCAACCAAAGTATTCGTCGCAACGGCACCACTCATCACATCGGATCATCAAGAGGTCACGTAATGATCGCGATCGCGATCTCGGACTCAATATTGATAGAAGTGGTACCAAGTTGAGTATCACGATCGTTTTGGTCCGGACTGGGACTCGGATCTAGTCGTGTCGGATCGGATCGGATCGTATTGGATCGGCGGTCTTGACTGGCCATCGAGATCGGCTCTTGTGTGGTGTGTTATGGTGTGGTGGTGGCTCAGAAGAATGTGACACGGGGACTTCAAGTGGCCGTGGTCGACAGCGCGAAGAGCGTCTTCTGCACACCGGCACATTGTCATGTCACGCCGGACTCTCCAGCTCTCCAACTCCCCAGTCACCCAACCATCCAACCATCCAACTATCCAACAGTGTGTGTGTCTACAAGTGTCCCTCTGCTCGCCAACTCCGACCCTCCAGACACTGAAGTGACCACTCAGAATTTGTCACATCATTATTCTTATTTTTATTTTCAATAATCATCCGAACTCGTGTATGCACGGTGTGCCCAATGTGAGTCTGGGAGGTCTGGGTGGCCACTTCGTTAGGCTGTTTCTGTGGAAACTCCTTGACAATGTTCGAGATGGAAGATAGTTGTTGTGAGGCGCTCCCAAGTTCGGTTGATCAGTGGATGCCACATACCATCAACTCGGGCAAATTAATTCATTTGTACGCGGCATAAATATGGAAAAGTTTGGCACGCTGCTAAAAAAGTCTTTATGGAAAGATGAAAGATGAAATTTTTGTGGCAGCAATGTGCCGCACTAATTAAATAATTCCTTTTTAAAGGGGCTCTTTGATCATTTGAACGCCCTAAACAACAGATACCATATCGAACAAGGGCAAAGTCGATCAAAATTCAAGGACAATTACAGACCATTTTTTACCAATAGGGTATCGCATTGTTATCACTACAAGCTAGGAGTAAACAGCACGCGAACACATGAACTCCGTTTTTTAAAATGCTGTATTGTGATAATATAACTTTAGTGCCAGAAACTTCTTTGATTTTGCTAATTTTTTGTGTGTCGATCGATAAAGACTGAATAAACATATAGTGGTGGGCGTGGCCAAGTTTTGAATTCAGCTTGCGATGCATATGCATGCGTGTTAAACGCCAATCTGTGCCTTTTAATGTTTCGATGGACTCGGATTTAGTCTGATGAAAAGTATATTATATATTATCTCAACTGGCCTCGGAAAATTTTTGTTTCACCTGCCAAATTGATTCATTTTTAAACAACCATCACTTACATCGCACCTATGATTTATAATGAAATACGCACTAATTTTTATTTTATGGTAAAAGTATTTTCCCCTTACATTGCTTTCAATGTCTACAAAAAGCAAAGAAGACAAATAAATATAATAGAGCGCAACTTCCATTGTTTTCCACGACAATTTTTAGTTTTCTTTAAATGCCAAAAGTGGATCAAATATCTGCTGGAACAAGTACACAGATGAATCAATGAATGTTTAAAACCCTGGATTGCTAAAATAAGCTTTCATTTTCTAATAACGGTCTTAGTTTGGTGATACATTCCTGTATTTAATATCATATCCTAATAAAATAAATGATTCTGCACTTATAGGTCTAATATTGACAAATGACACTTCTTTAAAGTAATATTTGGATTTTCTCTTATCTTGCAGTCAACGCACCTGAAACATTTATGCTGCATCTAGTCGAATGTATCGTCAGAAGTCTACAGGTTAACAGGTGTTCCTAAGCCGCTTGATGAATATTGGCCACGAAAAGCATCCGCACTTTCATCCGCATCCTCAGCTGCAGTCCAGCAGTCGCGCCGCAGAAGCGGTCAGTCCGTCGAGGTCCTACCTGCCCAACCGCCACCCCCTGTCAGGCCATGAGCGGCCACAGCCCGCGCACCCCCACCAGCACCACCCCCCGCACCTGCCACAGCCGCCCGCCGACGAGCGGACAGGAGCGGACCGCGACCGTGACCGCGACCGCGACCACGACCACCTGAGTTCCGATTCCGGCCCGATGGTGATGACCCCCAGTCGCCGCAGCTCGCCGCCTCTGCCGCCGCTGCCGCTGTCTCACCCCCACGCCCACGCCCACCCGCTGCCCCTGGCGCTGCCGCTGCGCCACCCTCTCGCCCTGAATGCGGGCGCCGGCGGCCAGCAGCACTCGCCGTCCCGCTCGCACTCCCACTCCAGCCAGACGCCGGCGCAGTCGATGAGCGCCCACTTCTCGCAGCTGGCCCATGCCCAGCTGCATCTGCAGAGCCAGCTGCAGCAGAAATTGTCTGCCAGCCGGAGCAGTGCTGGATCTGGATCCGGATCCGGATCCGGATCCGTAGTGGAAGCCTCGCCGGACCATCTGAATCCGTTGAACCCTCTGAGCGACCTGCAGAACATGCAGCCATTTGACTTTCGAAAAATCAGCTCGGCGGCGCTGGGCGCCTTCACCGGTCCGCTGCCGCTGCCCCCAAGTCCAACGGAGTTTGGGGGGCACCACCACCAGCAGCATCAGCAGCATCAGCAGCATCAGCACCACCTGCACCGCAGCAACCAGTTCTTCAACGCAATGGCCATGGCCTACCACCTGCCGCCTCCGCCACCACCGCCCGAGTCGAGGTCACCACCACTGCCGCCGGGAGTGGCCCAGTACCCGCATCAAGTATCGGGATCCGCTGCCGAGGAGTCCACCGGCAAGCGGGCCAGCGACAAGGGGTCCGTCTCGGGCTCCGCCCCCAACTCAGGCTCCAACTCCGGCGCGGGATCGCAGCGCATGACTCGTTTGGCGTTGTCCTCCAACATGCGCGCCAGCCGGAAGACGCACTCGCCGGGCGGAAACGGGGCAGCCGGAGGCGGTGGCGGGGGCGGTGGCGGGGTAGGGGGCGGGAAGCGCCAGTGGGGCTCCATGCCCGCCAATCTGGGCACCCAGTTCATCAATCCCGTCACGGGCAAGAAGCGGGTGCAGTGCAACGTCTGTCTGAAGACCTTCTGCGACAAGGGCGCCCTCAAGATCCACTTCTCGGCGGTGCATCTGCGCGAGATGCACAAGTGCACCGTGGACGGCTGCAGCATGATGTTCAGCTCGCGCCGCTCGAGGAACCGGCACAGCGCCAACCCGAATCCCAAGCTGCACTCGCCACACCTGCGGCGCAAGATCTCGCCCCACGACGGTCGCAGTGCGCAGCCGCATCCGCTTCTGCTCCAGGCGCCCAATGGACTCATGGCCGGATTGGCGCCTTTCGGCAGCTTCCCGCTGCTGACGCCGCCGCCGGACCTGCGCCACCACGCGATGGGATCGGGGACAGGGGGTGGCGGGGGCGGAGTCGGAGTCGGAGTCGGAGCCCTGGAGCTGAAACACGGTCAGGACTACCTGCAGCGGTCGTACTTGGACGCCGGTCGCTTCGAGGGACAGCGGCGCAAGCTGACGCTGGAAAACGAGCACACCGAGGACGAGGACGACGACGAGATCCTCGAGGTGAGTACACCTTTGCAGAGGGTATTATAATTACAGTCAGGGGTTTGACATTTCCGACTATGTTCTTGATCAGCATTACTAGGTGATGCGTCCGTCTGTCCGTTTCTACGCAATCTTGTCGTTCAGTTTTAAATATAGCTGGATAAAGGTTTCCCAAATACCAAACTTTTTTCGGTTGCAGGTAGTATATAAGCTTTCAATGGAAAAATCAGGAAAAATATAGATGTTTTTCAATTTATTTGTATACAAATGTATACACTCTTCGAGATATAGTGAAGGTTGAATATTTCAGAACAACGATTCATTAAAATACCTAATAATATTAAGTAACTAAAACAAACTATTCCTATAACTGGCATTAACACGATCGAATAATTCAGCAGATAATCGACATAGCTTTAATTGTTTTTAAGCATATACGAGTATGCGCTGAAACCGAAATAAATACTTTAAAGCTGCAAGGGTATATATCATTCGACTTGCCAAAGATTGTTTCCTATATATTTATGATTTATCTTTAGCATTTTTAACCAACCGTGGTGCTAAGCAAAAAATCATTTGCTAACCCATTTGCTTAGAAAAAAAATTTGTACTTTGTTATAGCCTTTCAGAGGGTATCAAAATTTCAGTCAGAGATTTGTAACGCAGTAAAAGAGGCATTTCTGACCTTATAAAGAATATATATTCTTGATCAGCGTCACTAGACATGTCCGTCCGTCTGTCCGTCCGTCTGTCCGTCCGTCTGTCCGTCCGTTTCTACGCAAACTAGTCTATCAGTCTTAAAGCTATCTGCACGAAACTTTCCCAAAAGTTACCTTCCTGATGCAGGTAGTATGTAAGTCGGAACGAGCCGGATTGGACGACTATATCATATATCTTCTATAGGAACAATCGTAAAAAAACAAAATTATAACTTAGCTCCTTTTTATTTTATTTTTTATATTTTAGTTCTTCGACATATAGTAATGGTTAAGTATTTCAGAATTACGGTTTAAATTTCATCAAAATCGGACGATTATATCATATAGCTCCCATGAAAACAATAAAAATATATATACCAAATTTTTTTTTTTAATTTTCTATCTTTTCTATTTTGTATTTTGTGTTTAAAATTTTTATACCCTTGCAGAGGGTATTATAATTTCAGTCAGAAGTTTGCAACGCAGTGAAGGAGACATCTCCGACTCTATAAAGTATATATATTCTTGATCAGCATCACTAGGCGAGTCGATCTAGCCATGTCCGTCTGTCCGTCCGTCTGTCCGTCTGTCCGTCCGTTTATATGCAAACTAGTCTCTCAGTTTTAAAGCTATCTGCATGAAACTTTCCCAAAAGTTGTCTTTCTATTGCAGGTAGTATATAAGTCGGAACGAGCCGGATCGGACGACTATAGCATATAGCTCCCATAGGAACAATCGGAAAAATAAAGGAAAAAAAATTATAACTTTGCTGTTTTTTAATTTTTTGTTTAGTTCTTCGACATTTAGTAATGGTTAAATATTTCCGATTTACGGTTTAAATTTCACCAAAATCGGACGACTATAGCATATAGCTCCCATAGGAACAACCGGAAAAATAAATGAAAAAAAATTATAACTTTTCTGTTTTTTAATGTTTTGTTTAGTTCTTCGACATTTAGTAATGGTTAAATATTTTCGATTTACGGTTTAAATTTCATCAAAGTCGGACGACTATATCATATAGCTCCCATAGGAACAATCGGAGAAATAAATGAAAAAAATTATAACTTTTCTGTTTTTTAATTTTTTGTTTAGTTCTTCGACATATGGCAATGTTTAATTATTTCAGAATTATGGTTTAAATTTTATCAAAATCGGACGTCTATATCATATAGCTCCCATAGAACTAATAAAAATATATAAAATAACTATCTAATAATTGAGCTGCAAATCATCATAGCTTCACTGTTTTTCAGTATATACTGAATTAAATCATAATTTAAATGTTTTCAAAAGTATTTAATTCATGCAATAGCTGCAAGGGTATATGAACTTCGGCTTGCCGAAGTTTGCTTTCTTTCTTGTTTTAACATTCTTTTGGTCATAGTAATGGTTTATTAACATAGAATTACGCTTTTAATTGTGTAAAAATCAAAAAGCGTTATCTTATAGCTGTCATAGAAACGATCAAATAATTGAGAAGAAAATCATTATAGCTTCAATATATGCGTAGAAATGGTGAGTTAGAAGTTTTTAAGAATATTTAATTTTTGTAAGAGCTTACAGTATATAAACTTCGGCTTGCCGAAGCTTGCTTCCTTTCTTTTTTTTATTATATTATCATATCATAAATTATAAATTATACATCCCGATCAAACAAGACGATGAAATAGAAAATAAGGCGAACTATACTTTGTTCGTTTTGTATTGGGGAACAAAACTTATCAACACGAACAATGCCTTTGGCTATGAGTTTTTATTCAGATAAGCCCAGCAGCAGAACTTTACATGACATTGAGAAGTCGGCCCTAAACGTCTTATCTTAAATGTCTTCTATCAAAAACTGTATTTATCTAATACTTACTAAGTACTGGGCCTAAAATGGGAAAAAGCAAAGCAAATGATTTCTTCTCATGACCGTTGACATTTTCAATTTCCAATTTTCAATTTTCCATCTTCCGTTGTCCATTGCAGGTGGGCATCCATATGGCCGGCGACGACGACGACGACGAGGCTGACGCCGACGAGGAGGACGACGACGATGACCCCGATGGCATCGTGGTGGTGGGCGACGAGCTAGACAGCATTCCGCTGGACCACGAGAACGACAATGAGAACGACGAGAGCGACGAGCGCTCCACGTCGGCGGTGTCCAGTTTGAGTCAAACCAAAGAGCAACCCAGTCCCGGCAAGGCCGTTCAGTCCGGCCTTGAGGAGTGCCACACGCATGCCCATGTCTATGCCCATGCCCACTCCCTTGGGCATTCCCACGACCACGCCCATGCCCATGCCCATGCCCATGCCCATGCCCATGCCCATGCCCAGGCCCAGGCCCATGTCCATGCCCATGCCCATGCCCATGCCCATGCCCATGCCCATGCCCATGCCCATGCCCATGCCCATGCCCATGCCCATGCCCATGCCCATGCTAATGCCCATGCTAATGCCCATGCCCATGCCCAGGTTCATGCCCACGCCCACGCACATGCCCTGGCCCAAATGGCGGCCAATAAACGAAAGCGCAAGAGCCAAAACCCAGTGCGTTGTCCGGTGCAATCAGACGAGAACTCCGGTGAGAACTCAGTGGACTACGACGTGGCCGCTGATCTGTCCATAAAGAAGGTGCGTCTGCCCGCGCAGGCCGCCGCATCTGCCAAAGAAACGGAGGTGGGCGAGTCAACCAAGTCGATACCCTCGCCACCACTCACGCCGTACGGTGATCTCAGGCCGGTGGGTCTCTTCATCAAGACGGAGAAGGAACCGGAGCAGGAACCGAAGCAGGAAACGGAGCAGGAACCGGAGCAGGAACCGATGCAGGAAAAGGAGACGGATCCGGATCCGGAACTCAATCTGGAACAGGGTGAGGGTGGACGAGAGGAACAGGAGCAGGAAATCAGGTCAGCTGGCAAGGTTGCGAATGCAGATGCGGAGGAGCAGGCCGTGGACACCACCCTGGATCTTTCTCGGGCAGCGGCCGCCATTAAGTTGGAGCCCCTGGAAGAGATTGGCTACGAGGCGGACGAGAATCGCTATGTGCGCATCAAGCAGGAGCTAATGGGTGGCGATGAGTCCTTGGCGGGGGAGGAGGAGTGCAACGCCAACACAGCCACCCACAACAATAACAATGTGCGCAGGCAGAGTGGGAATGGATTGGGCTCTCAAGAGGCAGACGCGCGGGAAGCGGAAGCGGGAGCGGGAGCGGAAACGGAACCAGAACCGGATCCGGAACCGGAACCAGAGCCCGAACCGGAAACGGAGGTGCCCGAGGTGCCGATTGACCAGGAGAACCCGCTCAAGTGCACCGCCTGCGGCGAGATATTCCAGAACCACTTCCACCTGAAGACACACCATCAGAGCGTGCACCTCAAGCTGCACCACAAGTGCAATATCGACGGCTGCAACGCCGCCTTTCCCTCGAAGCGCAGTCGCGATCGCCACAGCTCCAATCTGAACTTGCACCGCAAGCTGCTGTCCACCAGCGACGACCACGTGCTGCTCCACGGCGGACCCGGCCTGTCCACGGATCCGCTGCTGGAGCTGATGAGTCTCAATTTAAACAACAACAAGGGTAGCGGCGGAGTCGGGGGCGGGGGGTTTGGCCACTCCACGTCATCTGCCGGCGTAGGCGTGGGCGTGGGCGTGCCTCCGGCGGTGGGCAGCATCCAGGCGGAGATCCTCGCACGCATCTGCGCCGGAGCCCATGCCCACGGGCTGAATGTGCCGCTCTGCTTCGAGGCGCTGCAGCACCGCTTTGCAGTGGGTCATGGCCAAGCCTACCCGCTGGTGGACGGATCCGCCCCCAATCCCCGCTTGCTGCAGCTCAGCAACGGTGGCTCCAATCCGGCGCTCCTGTTCGCCGGACTACCGCGCATGCCGCGCTTTCCCCAGCTGACGCCCCACATGCTGGCCGCCGGAGCAGGTTCCGCCGGACTGGGGGGCTGAGCCCCTTCTGTCGACGCACTTCCTCCGACTCGAACTCCCAGCACTCGGTCACGCCGCCACCGCCGGCGCCAAAGAGGTCCCGCTCGCGATCAGCATCACCGGACTGCATCCATCCGCATCCACATCCGCATCCGCATTCGCATTCCGTTGAGGCGGCAATGGCAATGGGCATTGGCGTGGGCATGGAGGAAGCGGGTCAGCGGCAGAGCCCCGATCGCATATCATGACCATGTACCTCGTACTATGCCAAGGCGTTGGCATTTTATCACTAAGAGCCCTTATGTCATGCAGCGCACACACTTTGAAAGTCAGATGCAGATATAGATATACAAATACATAGATGCATTGCTCATGCTCACGTCGAGGATCGAGGATCGAGTATCGAGGGTCGAGGATCAATGATAAGGATGCCGCTCATAAACACGAAAACACTTTCACTTAGGCTAATGCTAAAATAAAATATTAGATGGATCAACTAGCATTTTTTTTCTATACTTAAATATACATACAATATATAAATACATATATATATATATGTATGTATAATATATATATATATATATATGAGCCCCTTTTTTTTTTAATTGTACTTATGAAAACTGATGTTTTGTGTACAAGTGTCGTGTTGTAGAGAATTAATAAATTGCAAAGAAATAACAAGTAAATAACTAATTAAATAAATAACGATACATATTGTTAGTGATACTCGATTATGTAAGTTATAATAGCCACTAAGCAGAGCCTAACTGGTATCGTAAGAATTTTTTTTTTTATTCTAACTAAAAACATTAAGTGAGTTGTATATGATATGCCGATGGCAGTGGCGAAGCAAAAGAATGAGTCTGCAACGAGGAAACGCTTGATAGGAGGAATCGAACAAATTTAATTGCAGGTTGCCCAGGATCACTCAAAAATCCTCAAAATCCAAATCGATCCAGTTTTGTTGTACTTTTTATTACAAACAAATCCTAAAGTAATTATGTAGTCGGTTAGTTAGTTCAGAAACAGTAACCAGACAAATACCTTCAACTCATATTTAAGCTATATATGTTTGCAATAAAATATCGGAAAATTCTTAAAAGCCTTTTGTGTACTTGGGAAGGGGTTGAATAAGTGAAAATGTGGAAACATGTACATAGTATGTATGGACGTGGTGAGATTCTTACATATTTACACATTCGTCATTAGAAATGTTTTATAGGGGGTGCCACAGAAGTCAAGCTGCTTATAAAATTGCTAAGAAATCACTAGGTTTTTAAAATTCCTTTACAAATTTTTTGTAATGTTAAATTCCCTACACGAATAACAAAAGCACAGGCTTGCATCAATGGGCAAAGATAAGTCAGATATATGTATGAGCTTAGGCATATAATCAGTGGTTTAATGTGAAGAATATATATGCCCAACATTCAGTATATGCATTTTTTAAGCATGACCTTATGTTATTTATGTAATTACTATAACTTTAATTTAACAAAAATTCGCTTTAGGAAACAAGAAAGGAAGCAAAATTCGGCAAGCCGAATTTATGGTTTATTTATGGTTTACTTGCGTATATGTTTAAAAGCATTGAAGCTTTGATGATTTGCAGCTCAATTGTGCGATAGTTCCTATGACAGCTATACGATATCGTTTTCCGATTTTAATAGAATTAAAAGCGTAATTTTGAACTGTCAAATTATAAATAAGTCAAAAAGAATTTAAAAATAATTACAAAATAGAAAAGTAACTTTTTAAAAAAAAAAATTATTTTAATATTTTTATTGTTTCTACGGGAGTTATATTATATAGTCGTCCGATATTGATGAAATTCAAACCGTAATTCTGAAATACATACTTAACCATTACTATAGGTATGTCGAAGAATTTAAAAGAAAATTAAAGAACAACGAAGGATTAATTTTAAAAAAAAATTTTTTTTTCCGGTTGTTTCTATGGGAGCTATATGCTATAGTCCTCCAATCCGGCTCGTTCCGGCTTAGGTACTACCTGCAATAGAGAAACAACTTTTGAGAAACCTTCATGCAGATAGCTTTAAAACTGAGAGACTAGTTTGCGTAGAAACGGACGGACAAACGGACATGGCTAGGTCGACTCTCCTAGTGATGCTGATCAAGAACATATATACTTTATCCTTATGTATCCTTCACTTCTGACTGAAATTATAATACCCTTTGCAAAAGTATAATAAGTCTTAAATTAAAAAGCTAAATATCAGTCAAGATGACTGACGCAAGAGTAAGGGGCTCTTATAATTATTTCTAAGCTGGAAGGTCATTGCTTTGTAGGCGGGTTCGGTTGAAGGCCCGTGTTAAACCCCTGGTGAGATGGTTTGGATGAAAGGTTAGCTTGGTGTGATAAGTCGCTTTTTGTTTGGATATTTCATCTTTTTCGGGTAGAATACCCAGTTCTCGTTCCGAACATATCATAGTGCGCCAGTGGTAGTTCTTAGGATTTTGGATTGAGCGCGCTGGATAATGACGATGTTGGCGTTCCCTCACAGTTGGGAGCCGTAAGTCCAGACTGGCTTAAGCTTAGAATTGTAGAGCAGATTCTTGTAGTCCAGGCAGAGGGGAGTGCGGGCGTTTATAATCCATTGAAGGCTATTGGCTTCTAGTTTTAAATGTATTTTCTTAGCTTCAATGTGTCTCTGCCAAGTAAGTCGTATGTCAATATGGACGACGAGATACGTTACATCGTTGGCTTGTGGAAGCTGCGTATTTTTCAGAAATTGTGTGGAACATGTTTGTCTGTTGAGAGTGAACGTTATATGTTGGCACTTTTACTCATTTATTTGTACACGCCAGTTTGACAACCACTGTTCCAATAGCACGAGCTGATTAGCTAGAAATGCTGTTGCTTGAATTGGGCATCTGGACCGACTAATGATCGTGGTCTGAGAATGTTGATGTTGCTCGAAGCTCATTCGTGGGAATATCCGCTGTGTATATGGCGAAAAGAATTGGACCAAGGGCGCAACCTTGAGGAATTCCAGCTTCTATTAAATAATCGTCAGATATTTTATCGTGTCTTACTGAGAAGACTCTTTTGTAGCGGTACGACTCAAGTATCTTGTAAATGCGTTCAGGCAAGATCGTTTTAATTTTATACATAAAACCATCGAGCCAGACTCGGTCGAAAGCCTGTGCGTCGGTAAGAAATATTGCATTGCAGAATTCCCGATACTCGAATGCTGTCCGTTTTTCGGATGTTATTCTGTTGACTTGCTCTATGGTTTCATGCCTTTTTTTGAAAGCCAAATTAATGTGCCGGGAGTTTTCAAATAGTTTTGAGAGGCACAAGAGTAAACTTATTGGCCTGAACGAAACTGGTTGTGTATGATTGGGAAGTAGCCAAGTCTTATGATCCCGTTGGACAATTTACGAAAGGCTTCAACTGCACAGTTTGGGAGTTCAATTAGCAATTTTTGAGTAAGCAAGTCGCCGCCTGGAGACTTTTTAGGTTTCAATTGCTTTTTGATGTCTTTGGCAACTTCGTTTGGCAGAAACGTAATTATATTAAGTTAAAAAAAAGACATTTATAAAAATATTAAAACTAAGTACGAAGGAAATATGTATGTTAAAATATTAGTTTTCAAAATAGGGATAGAGGTTGATGAAAAAATTTGAATATAAAGAGTTTAATAAATATTATACATGACACGAAAGGGTTCATGCAGGCCAAAATTTGATGAAAGTTAAGTTAAGAAGATGGTAATTGCGGGTTGGCCTAAAACGTAAGTCAAAAGGTAAACTACTTACCAATTCTGTGGATTCAATATGACCTCTAACAAGATTGTGCATAAAAATAGTTCCAAGCATTATTCTACGATTAACAAGAGTAGGTAAATTAACTGGGGTAAGACGGCAACCTTACATATTGATCCCAGTTAAAACCACGAAGGGCGAAAAGAAGAAATTTTTTGTACCGACTCAATACGATCGATGTGAATTGATATTTAGGACTCCAACCCAGAGAGCAATATTCTTATTTAGCATGGACAAGAGAAGAACAAAACAATTTAGTAAAGGATCATCAAATGTTGTTGCCCATCGCTTAATAAACTCAAGAACTATTTTGGTTTATTCATTTTTCAATTTGTAGGTGCAGCGGTTGACACGACTTTTTTACCTTGTTAGGAGGTGATTCGTTTGATACAACTAATTGTGAAATATTTGACCATAACTATATCTTAAAGAATATTAAAGAATATAAAAAAAAATGTTTTTAAAACAGCCAAGGTATAATTTTTTTTTTATTTATTTTTTTTCCAATTGTTCCTTTGGGTTCCATATATTATAGATGTTCAATATAGCTTGTTCCGAATTATAAAATACCTGTAAGAAAAGACATCTTTTGGAAAAGTACTATGCCGATGCTTCTGACTGAAATTATAACACCTTAGTAAGGGTATAAAAAAGGTTCTTGATTGTTTTTGTTAATTTTATTAGATCCCAAATCTTTATTGTAGTTTCCGAAATCTCGACGTTCATATGGTCCTACGGTCAGGCAGACGGACATAGATAGATCGAATCGGCTATTGATTTCGATCAAGAATATATATACTTTATAGGGTCGGGAACGCTTCATTCTACCTGTTATCTACTTTTCAACTAACACAATATACCCTTTTATTCTTAAAGTAACAGATATAAAAACAGCGAAAAGCAACAAACTTGTTTTATTGCATGTGCAGGGAATACGCGTTCTGTAGGCCGAAATGTGCTACATTTGAGCTAAAAACAAGAATGGCTTCCAAAGTTTATACACCCTTGCAGCTAATACACAAATTATATATTTTTATAAACATCTAATAGCCTGATTCCATTGCCCCATTAGTGCACTTTTTTAATTGTGTCTGATTCCATTGGCGCTTTAGCATTTAGGTAATGCTACTCCGACATGTGAGTGGCACGAACAGCTGATCTGGGTTTGTTTACTTTTGAATTTTCGCAAATCAAAACGAATTAAATTTAAAATCATGAATATGAGCGAGTTTACGGATATCTTTAACGCCCAATAAGACATGTTTTCGGTCATTTTTACGCAAAATCGATTTTATATGGGAAAGAAATTAAAAATTGCGCTATCCTTGCATATAGAAAACAGCTGTTATAGTGGTGTCACGAACAAAATATCGTTAAAAATCAGTATTTTCCAGTATTTTTTCTAAAAATTTTCGAGGCAAATTATTTTATATTATTAATCGCGCTTATTTATCGCATTTATTTTAAGTGCGGCATTTAGCCTTATTGGGTTCCCTGTGTAAATAAATGCGCATTAGGTAGCTATATGATAAATATATATTTATAAAATTTTCGATAAGTTAAAGCTTAGTTTTATGTACTTGATATCAAGTTAGCAGAACACAGGGTTTGTTTAAAACAAAATCCAATAAAACAAGAGCGGCAAATTTGATTCTTTTACGAATAATTAACGGATAATTAACGGCAAATCTTGCAAAAGACAATTTTCGAAAAGTTAAAGTGTAGTTTCGTGTACTGCTAGCTTGATAACATTACAAGCCACTCTTTACATTATTTATCATATTTTGTGTGTACCCGACGTGTATCTGCTAAGACAAAATATTATATTTTATTACTAAAATCACTAATCTAGAATATTTGTAAAACAAAAAATGGTGAACAAAAAGTTTGCCCGATTTGCTTGGGAGCGATAGTTTTCTAGAAGAAGAATTGCAAACTGTTGATAACAATTAGGATTGCAGATAGCTAAAATGCATAAAGGTGGAAGTTCGTTGTTTTTCGCCACAAAGGGTTGATTCCAGCAAGCCGTTTAATTTTAGATCGATTAAGGGAAGCTCGTAAATTTTTCTGCCCTGGCTGCGAGGGCGTTAGTGTCCAAATAAATAAATGCAACGCCAGTATCTGCACATGTAGACCGGTCCGTAAGGTGTGCTCGTATCTTGTGGATATATGTGGGTGCCATAGGTGTGTGGTTGGCCATGTCGCACCCGGCCAACCCCAGGTAGTGGCAGTTACACCAGTAACACCATCGCCATTGCCATCGGCACAGCCATATCCATTGCCTCAGCCATAGCAATAGCCATTTCAATGACCT